TCAAATGTTTTGTTAGAGTAATAAAATTCAACAATTACTCGTGTGTACTCTGTGAATAGATTGAACAACGAAAAAAATTTTCACGAATTTACACGAGGGAGAAACGAAACCGATTTCGAACGTACCGCGTTGGTCAACTCCGCGACTCATTGAGCTGTACTGTGAGGTGTCCGCACGATACTCGCAGCCTCATACCAGGTTGATCAATGATTAGAGAGCACAGACTCCTGGTCCTCCAGGTGTGGGATTGGAACATGTGTGTTGACTTGTTCTGTAAAAATTGAAACGCATTTTCATTTTCCGCCAAACATCGTTGCTTTGCGGTTAGGCTTTCTAGCCAAAGGCTTTGGTGAGGAGCCCTAAACGTGCTCCCCTGTTTAGATGTGGGCGCTCTGTCAGTATCCTAGCCCATGCACAATGATTAAATGTACACATACATGCACATACATACATTACACATACATTTACACATACATGCCACATCGGCCGTCACATAGTGCCATCAGCCGGTTCACCCTACTTGCTGCGCACACCAGGGCGAATAAGCGAAAAAAGCTACTGCTGGCGCCCCCATCGTTCCTCTTTCACATGCTTTCCCTTCTTTCCTCTACCCATTTCATTAACAACTTTCTCCTTGTAGGCCCTCCAGGCCCTCCGTGGGTCCGTAATCAGTTTTGCAAGCGACATCTGCGCGTCACCGATCCCGACATCCTGAAGCATCTCGAAGACAACCTTCAAGCCTGGACGCTCAATCTATTTAGCTGCCATCAATGTCCACACTCTGAAGCAAGCAGATTACAAAGCTGCTCTTGCTCTCACAATGGACCCACTTGACATTGATTTGTGCTGTACATCATAAACAAGATCCAAACACGGTTGTTGAGGTAACCGCCCTATCACTCTCCACTACCTTCCTTCTGCGTATCTCTGGCGATCCAGATGCTGCTGCGGCAGTGTGTGCAGGGGTTGGTATCTTCTTAGGTCACCTAGCGGAAGGATCCTTGCTTAACCGGATATCCGTTGCTAGTCGCCCTTGTGCGGTTCGTCTGGAAACGTCCGTGAGGTATTCTCCCAAGCAGCAAGTCGATTGATGTCCGATCCAACCGACCGTACCTCTGACACTATCAAAGACCAGTTTTATGACGCTTTGAATGCGGTGAGCTAAGAGCTCAGAGGTCTGAATGCACCACTAGACATGGTTAGCGCATCTGATACTCAGTTAGGTAGTCTTTATGAATGGGATTCGGTACGTACTGGCTATGGGCAAGATTGCTTCATCTGTGTGCTGGTCGCAGGCTGTTTTTATGCCATACTAACTTCCGAAATAGCCGGAGTCTTCTGGCAACATTGTGTCCTCCAACGTCGTACTGACTTCGAACTCAAATAACTCATATAGCCACCGGTTGCCGATGGCGTGGGACAATAAATGATTGCTGGTCGTTTTGGAACACATTTGTAGATACCGACCACGGTCCTGCCCGGAGTCACTTTTGCTTTCGTCCTCCAGTGTCGCATAAGGTGCGGATAAATCGCTTGGCAATTGAGAGACTCAGATTCGGATGTTAGAGGAATTTACCAGAATCATTTTCGAGAGTATTCCCCAACTGCCCGTCACCATATGTGAAGTCTCAGTGAGACGCGATTGGCACCTCTGCACAGTGCTGGGAGTTTTGCGTGTGGCGCGGTGATACCATGCTCACGTATGCACTGGATATCAGACCGAACAGTGGCGCTGCTTAAATCTTGGGGACATATCCCAGCAGGTCCAGGTCAAGCAGGTTTCGCAGCAATCTGGCGCAGCCAGCTTGAATAAAAAAGGACGCCTCGACAGTTGGACCGAATAATCCAAACAAGAGTTATTGTGGTCATCGGCTGCCACTCATTTGGAACATACAACTGGCGAACTCTGGTCGGCGAACGTGGAACGGCCCTACTTTGGCGTGGTTGAACCCTGCGGAACGCCAATATGCCCCGCGGGATCGTTGTAGCACTGAAGTCAGACCGGCAAAAGACGATAATTGTAGGTCAGGTGATAAAGTAAGTACAACAATACCGTTTTTCTAGATGTGATAGCTGTAATTCCATTGATCTTTCGGAATTGTGACGGTGCCTGGTGATAAATGTTGTCCCTTTGCAACCCTTGTTTGACGTAGAGGATCCATATGTCTTATGTGGATGCATGCAACAAGCCCTCCTGAGTTCACCACAACTACCGGCGTCAGACAATATGTCTTATGTCCCCCTTCTGCTTCATTGTACTGCCAGAGTTTTCCGTACCCGGAGATGGAAATACTCCCAGGATTTTGCTCAGGATACTGAGGACACTGATAATATTACTGTTTTCAAATCGGACCCTTTCAGAACACAAACTATTTTAAGTAATTCTGCTGCTCAGTTCCGTGCGCGCGTGTAAAATTTGGACTGCTGCATCCAGGTTGGGTTGGATCAAACCCAAACCCCGTGCTTGGAGGTGGATGAGTTAATCTTGGCAATTGCGTAATTTCTGACTGGCTGGCGGAAGATGGAATCAATTCCCTAACCGGGAAGGTCGGGGCAGCGTTATATGTAGCACAGACGTGACGTGAGCTGGACTGTCAAGGACAGAGTGTTCACAACTCCATGTCTATTCCGTGGACCAGAGGCGTGGTCGCCCTTTTCGGAAGACCTCTGGAGTCTGTGTTTGAACGTCGGTGCCTCCGGAGCATTGCTTAAAGGCAGCAGGTGTGTACGTGATGCCGCAATCGCTGCCCCGAAGTTTGTCTCCTCTCCCATCAGTTGTGGTACCTGCTCCACTATTTCGATATCCGAGAATCGGATTTTGAAATGGCGTCCCTGAACAATGAGATTCACCGCACTCATGTCATAGCATGCTTTTCTGCAACATATTTCAGGGGTGATGGTTGATACTATTCCACCAACAGTTGAGGTTGGGTTAGTGAGAATACTGGTTTTCCGTTCGGACCGGCTTCTACTGACAGTGTCGTCTGCACTTCATCAACAGAGTATTCTAGACGCTGTTTTGGTAATCACCAGATCGAACGTTTTACCATGTGAGCTACCTCAATGTTTCACATTTTCTTTTCAGGATGTACCGTGGTGGAGTCCCACTTATGCTTGGTATGCACTCTCCAAACGCAACTAAAGCTTAAAGATAACATTGTTTACACACGACCTGATTTACGATCGTTTAGCTAACCCCCTAAGATCCAATCCACAACTTTGACATATTGTGGGTCATGCAAAACTTTTATTATTTATTTTCCCGCGAAATAGATATGCTCAGAAATGTTCCAATGTTCTGTCCACTTTCAGTTAATTCATCGCATTCTTATCGAAAATCTGCGCCACCTTTCAAAACACAGGATTTTTGTATCCTAGGGATCACTCCGTTTTACACCAGCAATAGCTAGTTTGTTATTTTGCAATTCCACACACGAGCGACCTGTACAATGGCAGCCCCGAAAGGTGTCCGAGCGAAGAAAGGACGGATAGAAGGAGAAATCGAGAAACTGCGAAGTGAGGGGAATTGGAGCAAAGCGGTGGAGGTGATCTCTCCTCACAAAAATGACTCAGCTTTGTGTAAGTCTTTTCGTGTACAGTGATACTTTACTATTACTGTTTTGCTAGCCTATTTGTATTCTCTAGTTATGTGTGAAAGCAAGTTGGAGAACTTTGAGCATAGCTTTTTATCGGATGAAGATCTCGGACAATGCGAACGCTATCTGAACGAGGCTTTGAAAACGCCAGATGATCAGTACAAGTCCGAGGCAACGATTTTACACGGAAAGATATTATACCTCCAGAAAAGCTTCACGGCATCTCTGGAGGTGTTGGGGAAGCTTAAACTTAATTTGGTTAAACTCGAACAGTATAATTCACGCTTTGGACGGCTCCTTGCAGAGGGACTCGCTATCATGGGTATGTGAATCTTTATGATTATTTCACTTAATTTCCTTAAAGGACTATGTACCGAAGAGTTGGCCCAAATGACAAGACGACCGTTGACGGATGTTGAAAAAGCGACCGCATTATCATGTTACAATCTATGCGGGGACATATCCGTGCGCCATTTTCAAGAGCTGTACCAGCTGACGCCAGATATTTCCACAAATTCTATCAGCTTTCCGAAGGTTGTGCTCAATGCCATACAGCGGCTTATAGCATTGACATGTCAGTCCGGGTAAGTCCTCAGTCGACTAATTAGGCAGTAAAATTTCCACACGAATAGAATCTTAATAACCTCATCTGTTGCAAATTGACGCTTGAATCGAATTTTATTTTTAATGGCACGACGAATGCACTTCTTCTTTTATATATATTTTTGCCAATTTGGAAGCTAGATATCTATCTTTCCCCCTTCATGCGTTCTGTTAAATTTATATGTTCATTTTGATGGAGACTATTCGCGTGGGTCTTGTCACATTTCGGAAGATAACTTCAGATATCCTAAACTTATTGGTAACCGTCAACTCCTCCATACTTGCTTCTGAGAAGCTGCCGAGTCGCCGGGCTATCGACTAAACATTGAAGCAGCCGACTTGAGACAACTGATAGTGCTGAGGTGCTCAGGCACGTCCTAGAAGCGGTGCCAATCAGTCATTCAAGGCCGAAAGTGTGCCCTAAATACCACGACACACCTCGTAATTTTGCAGAATTTCTGCGAGGAAGCTGTCGTGTTCTTTTTTGAACGAGTATTTTCCTATCGTTAAGGTTTCGCAGTCGGGGTCTGCAGTCAGTTACAACAGATTTTCAACACGCGAACCCACACAATTGTGACACTAACTGTCGAAGCGTACAAAGAAGTTGACGCGACAACTCACAATTCGGAAGCCGCGTCCTGCTGCAGCTGAAAATTCCGTTGACTCGATCACCAGGAGCTTCATGGGGTTCTATTATAAATCTGATGCTTTTCTGGCCTTCGATGCATAGTTGAAACTCTATGGAGACATTTTCCAAGTTGAATTTATGAACAAATATGACGTTTGGTGAATGCATATTTTGCTAAGAATACTTGGCACAACGGATACACACGCTAATCCAAATGCCAAGAAAGTGCGAGATTTCAGCTTATACTAAACTGTGCAGCAGAACTCATCGGTTTTCGATGAACATTTGTCTTTGTTCAATATTCGCTCTAGGTGTGAACAAAGAGTCGGATGATTACATCACTTATGACGGTGGACTCAGCCGTGAATGTGAACGATTCAAGATATCTAGTATGACGGAAGGCCATCTCAGGTGCCTACTTTTCACATGTTGCTTTCAGTCACATTCAGAAACAGGCTACCGAACAAGACTGAAGTCCCCAGAATTAGTACTATAGGCTATCACTCATGAATGCCAGCGTGTTCTGAACCTAAGACACGACACGGCCATCATCGAACTTCATTTTCAGCATTACCAGTGCAACTTTGAAGCAGTTTACTTGGCGGAAAGTTCTCATAGAGTAATGTCTTCATTGGCGTGTTAGTGGTGTGGCAAATTGCATTTTATGCGGTCGCACTCTTGGCCAAGGCACGATCACTCAGTACGTAGTCGATGCGGGCAAAAAGAAAGCCCTCGTCGGACGTGGGAACCCGGCCGAACACCTGAGGTCATGAAGCAGACGAAAGCAGTCGGGACCTACGTTTCATTGCGTTCTTGCCACGATAATCAGGTCGAGAATTTCCGGAAGCATGCGGCAGAACAAACGGATGCACGCTTCGGTTGCAGCTCGATACGGCTTTCGATATTATGACCATCTCCATTCGCACTAACGATTGACACCGCTAGAGATACATTAGCAGGTAAGCGTAATTTATTTGGTGAACTTGACTGTTATTCGAGATAGTAGGCCATTGTTATCGGGGATTTATCTACCTATTTATTCGAGCTTAACCTCCTGGGTATAGGCTAGATCGATCGCGTGCAGCATTCAACACTGTCGACCAAAGTTTGTGCACACCTGTGCCATTAACTCAGTCGCTGCCGCGATTCTGAGATTACATCAAAAACACGATGCAATTTTCAGCGTTGGCCTCCATTGCTGTTCGAAATCGAAGGCGGCGTTCTAATTACGTCCTAATGCCAAGTTGATTTCACACTGAAAAGGCTAGTACCACGCGGCTTTCTAAACTCTTGACGCCTAATGCAAACGGTTGTAAGTCTCGAGAGTCTTGAAAACGGTAAACCGCTCCTTCTGGGCTGCCCCGGTTGTGGTTGTCGGAGAGACGAGTTGTGCCGTGCGGATCCGTCGCTTACTCTATAGGCCTAAATTATGCTTTTGACAATCAACAGTATTCACTACTGCTATCTGATATTTTGGTAAGGTGAACATAACTTGCAAATCTGGATCTTTCTGAGCCCCAACTGCGAATTGAGCTCGGAGAAGAATCCAGACTTTTCTGTTGATTGATACACATCGTGGCCTGTTCCAGTACAAGCGGTTATTTTTCGAGCTCGAGATAGCTCAATGGTTAGGACGCTAACTTACGGGCCGGAATCTGCGTGATTCAAACTCAACCTCAGTATCTCGACCGCTTTTGTCCAGCCTTGGGCAACGTGACAGTATCTCAACCCTCGTGCCTCGTTTGGTTGGTACGGCAGCTAGGCACCGGAAGTGTTACAACTGAACGATCACTTTTCATGAAGATAACTACTCACAAGGTTGTGGGCTGTCGAGGAATTTTCAGCAACCTTATGAGTAGTGCATTACAAAAAATATATGTATCGCGATATCTCGAATATCGTAGCGACTGAAACATAAGGCAGCCTGGTGTAGCACGTCCAGTTGCCTGGAAACATCAAAGTCAAGAGATTCAGATGGGTTCCAGGTGAGCCTCTCGAAAAATCAAATTAGTTTGCAAATGAGTGTATATTTGCTGAAAACTCTTCGACAACCTGCGACCGGTTTCTTTCTTCTTGGGGCTCATGAAGTAGGCGCAGTCCCCAAGTTAAACGATCACTTTTTATGATTTACAACTTTGAAGTGTCATCTTACTTGGCTACAACTTTGCCATAAAATGTTTCCCAGTCGAGAACACCGGGAAGCCAGGTGCGCTTTTGCGCTTGATTAATTCTCATGTAATAGAACCAAAAGGTGCTATCATAGCCGTTACCGTCTAGCCGGAAATCCATGGTACGGTGCTGGAGACAATAAACCAACTGTCGGTGATTTTATGTTATGACGAAGACTCGCTGAGTAGAAATTCAAAATTCGCGTGCACGAGTTCGCCTATAGGTTTAGGTGGGAGCTTCTAACCGTATTGTTCATTGTTGGAATACTTCCCTGGTGTTTTATTCACGTCTGTCTAAGCTTGAATGACATGGTGATATCTCATTTCTCGGGCCTCGTGTTTTTTTGTAGCTATGGCCCAAAACAGTGCCACGTCTGAGCGATTTGCTCCCCAAAATTTGGTTTGAAACATGATTGGAGACTGTCACATCAACTCTTGAATAAACCAAGTAACGCCAGCTTGGAATTTCATTAGCTGACACTGAGATCTGTGGCCACCTGGAAAGCCACAGATATTGACCACTTCGCCTATCGCCCGTGGGATTTGCTTTGCTGGAATGTGTATCATTCCAGAAATAACTTCTGGGAGACTACAACTTCATGATTGTCGCTATGTACTGTGGCTGATAACAAGAGTATTCACGGGGGGTTTTAAGCACTTTTCGTGCCACATACCGCCTAGCTTTTCCCCAGTTTTAACGTTTGCCTTTACACGACTACCCTCTGTTGACGCAACTGCGAGTAGCGGGGTCGTTGCATGATGGCTGATGGTTTTGGTGAGGACATAACAGCTGCATTTACTGTGGCGTTCGGGATGACAGCAACCTTATGACTGGGTGGTAAAGTTCCTATGGTAAAACCACCAGTAAACCGCCATTATCTATTATCTATACAGAGGATAGGTGATAGGAGGTCGAAGTGAGGAGACGTCGGGTTGTACAAGTTCGCCTGTATACTTCGTTGAGATTAACTGTGAATGTCTGTAAAATGAAACCCCATATGAGTTCGACGTACCTGCAACACATCAGGCTCATAGTTGAAAACATATTGTCCGCAGGGTATCTGGCGGAGCCTGAACCCAAGTAACCAAATCAACTAGCATGACTATCTGACTGTCACCTTTGAACTCTGTCGAGAACAGTTTACTTTGATGGCTGGACAGCAGGGTGCAGCCAGCTTCACCAGATAGGCTACGGACTGTCTGTCGTTTGGATGCGGCACGCTCTTACCCTCACCTCCGATTTGTTTAGAGGGGATTTCCTAAATAAAAAGGGCAAGGATGTTGGGAGCAACCTCGAAGAGACCGGTTTTTAAGCGCACATTGCTGATCACACTGCTACCTCTCACCGTTCGTAGCTGTCATTACTGATTCGGTAAGGTGTTCTAGGTCTGAAAATGCTGGTAGTTACTAGTGAGTGTACTTTAACTTCTCGGATGAAGTGTTTTGCGTGGCCACGGTAATTTCAGTGCTGAATAACTCTGATGGAAACAGGTGCTTCACTAATTTCCATCGAAGGTAGCTGAACGTTTTGTCGTTTGAAGTTCCATTCTAACCTATCTTCAGTTCGTTCACTCATTAATCTTTTGAATAATTTCTTGTTCAGTGTTGTGTTCGACGCCGTCGCTCTGTTTCGCCGATTCATGCGCTACTCTGAGACTCCGTCAACCAGAATCCTTCGACAGTCTTTGGCGTTTCAGTTTGCAGAGCTTCTGCTGCGGGGACTGTGCACGAAAATGTACCGTAAACATGATTTAACGGCAGAAAATGCCGAAGCGAAGCAAAAGGTAAGCAGCAATTGTATTTCGCCTATATGCTTTTCCAGGGTTTCAGCTTTTTTGTGAAACTGAACAAGTATGCCGGAATTTGTCGTAAGTTAGGATGATTTCGGTCGCCAGTCATAAATCGGGTACATCGAAATCAGAAATTCAACTGTTCAAGCGTGGGATGCAGACGGTGTTCACAAGTGAACCAGCACTGACATGGTATTAGGCTTAGGAATACTCGAAGACTCGATGTTTTTTTTAGTACGATGGTCATTAATTCAGCACGTCAACAACTGACACATTGTACTTGCCTTCGTCAGTTGACTGAGGGCTGCTTCGTTTTTAAAGAGGCTGCTACTATTAAAGTCCTCCTAGACTTGAATTTTGGGTTATCGTATGATGTGGATAAGAAAATTGAACACCACGCTTTGTTTACACTGATTCTTGTAACTATTGTCGCTCCATAAAGGAAACTACTCACAAAGTTGTTGAGAATATCATAAACGAGAGATTCAGTGGAGTCTCTCGTGAGAACCAAATCGATTTGCAAATGAGCCTATTTCTCGAAAATATTGTCGCTCCAGTCTTGGGATCCTGATATGACTGTCCGTTATTTTGGTTCCTACCGGCGTACCATATTTTTTGGATGCAACACGTTCAAAATTGTGCCATTCTTTTTGGGAGACTTTTGTTTCTATCTTGTTGCTTGGGGACTGCTTCTTCCCGAAGAGGTCGTTCTTGGGAGCTTGTCGCACCAGGTCGGTTTTCAGGATCACATCCCTTCGGACTTACATCACCTTTAGCGGGGGTCTGACCACATGAGCTCACTGTTTGTCATTCCTAACCGTGCGCAAGCATCAAATTAACAAACTGGTAAAGGTTTCGTTATCGCCCATCACGTAGAAAGCTAGTAATTCGTATAATTGACTCAGTTTTAACTGAATTGAATACATTTTCAACTGCAATACACTTTTATCTGGTAAGATCTGTTGCCTAGGGTCTGCTGGTTACCATTTCTTGAGAGTGTCTATGAGTGGACGTTTTTGAGAAGAATAATTCTCAACTCACCAACGGAATTTCGCAATCTGTTCCTTTCACTGACTGCAATGCTTTTCAGCAAATTGTGCCATATCGCTACCCACCAGGACGGATGGTTCCAGACACCTTGTATCGTGAAGCGATACTGATGTTGCTCATCTCAGAACACATCGTGAGTTGATTTCACAGTCCAACGTGAACAGTAATAGTCCATGATTTTTACAAACCAGACTCAGCTGATGCTTATGCTGAAACGCCTTATTTGAAACCTATTTATTCATGCTGCATCCCATGCTTAAACGGAGCCTCTGCAACCGCTTTTTGATACCGACTCGTAGGTCACCTGCATAGAAAGCCCCATAGCTTGGATAAAATAACGATCGCAGTTTCGTATTTTCATGTTTTATGTTCGTTACTTGATTAGAACGGGATAACTATATGGCCACATTTTCTCCATCAATGAAGACATTGCATTGTCTGTCCGAACCAGCAGTCGTACTCGACTTTACATTGGGCTGCTACTCCGTTTTGCATAAGTAATGGTGACGTTATTCAACAGTTACATATTCACAGAATCACCGTTGACCTCACCATCTGTGATCGTGGGACCATTATGTAATGGTCACATTTTGAGCATGTGATCTCATTGCCAGGATCTATCGTGACCGGTCATGACCAACGGTAGATGTTTCCGCCGTGCTGAGAAAAAAACGATGTAACTGGACTGATTGTGTTGCATGTACTCAATTTTTTTTACCGCTGCTGGCGATTCCCTCGCTACTTGGCTGTTCAATGAACCGATTATGGAATGAATTCGCCAACACCGAACTGGGATGCTATGGAACCCAGTGACTTTTTCTCGGCGATAACCATTTTCTCAAGTGAATTTCTATACTCTGAGAGGTGTTTTTCAGCGGCCTCTTAAACGGGTTCAGCACCAGACAAGTAAAGCATGGAGTCTGTCAATAATCTCAGGCCACTGACTGATTGCATAGGCTGGTCAATCGTCAGTCAGCCAGCGGTACAACAAGTCGTTCATTTTGGGTACTGAAGAATGTGTCTGTACCGAAAACAGGTTATCTGTTTGGAATATTCTCATTTGGTGAGATTCATTAAGCTGTGGATACAGTATTGTTTTTCAACCCGTCTTCGTAACACTTTGATACACCCTTACACAGTTCTCGGTTGTGCTAACCGAACGATGGTCGTTTCTGTAAGCCTGCATACTGTCTTGGTTCGATAGGATAGTGTCCTGGGTGCCATACTGATGCTTTTGTTGTAGCTAATTAATCTTCGGCTTGTGCTCGGTTGTTTACGGACTGGCCACCCTTTTTGTAACATCCAGTTCCGTTTGTCTTCCAAGACCGCGGATTCAACTCAGCTTTGAATTTTTTGAGTGAATTATTTCTTCAGGCATTTTCATGTTATTGTCCACAATTGTTTTTCTGCCTTCCATCGGACAGGCCAGTCAGGAGGTCGTTCTCAATCGCCCATCCGAAATGTCCGATATGAGGATCATGCAGTCGATAAACAATATGTGTGCCGTTTATGATTTGTTGGCTATCGCACTGTCAAGGACGGGGAATTACGGATTTTTGTCCAAGGTACAGTTTCACTGTCAGGACATCTCCGTCCATTACGATCTTGAATAAAAAATCAGACCAATTTCCGGTCATTTTATAAAAGGAGATATGTTTGGAGCATATTAGCGTACAGCTCTGCAGATCATGTCCATATTGATCACGGAACCATTTTTTCTAACGTGAAAGTTCTTCAGTTATTCTAGGGCTTGTCAATCTCTTGCAAGCGGAGAGCTTTCTTATGGATCCGAGTCCTGTTCCATACACAGAATGTCCTTACTTCTGAGCCTGTAACTCAAGGGGCAAACGCAGTTAGATCGTCTAATTGCTGAGTATTGTTCGTCAGCTATACCTACTGTGAAATTATCACACTCCACGCGATGGCATCAGTTGAAACCCCAACACACACACACACACTTTCTGAAACAGACAGTGAGTGTAAGAATGTGTCTGGGGCAAAGGGAGTTAGAGAAGAAATCTAGATAGTTCAAGATGCAGTACTTTATACCAAGCTACTGTTTCCCTAATGGCTGCATCTCAGACTCGGCTGTATGGTATGCTACAAGCCATTCATTTGGTTTCGTTGAATTTTTCACACCCTCCTCCTAGAACTCGGTTGAAGTTGTTTGATTTTTTGCGGCATCCGGTATGAGAAAATCGTTCAACCGTAACACCCTACTAGTGTCTAGCTGCCACGCCACCCGAAGGAAGCACGAGGGCTGGGATACTACCAGGTTACCCATGCCTAGACAGGGGAAGTCGAGATGTAGAGGCCGGGTGAACCACGGACTTTCGGTCAGTAAACTCGCGCTATAACCACTCCGCTCGGTCCGCCCCGTATTCTCACCGGTTTCATCCCTCTTGTATGCCCGTACGTACGTCTCTATGTTTGGCGTTGTTTATCATTCTAGCATAGCTGTCGTCAAGTAATAGTCATAAACATTTGGTCATAGCACCATTTTCATGCAACCCAGGTGAAGTATGAGGGTTGAGATGCTGTCAGGATGGTTTGGCTTCTTCAGGGGGTACTGGGTAGCCAGGGTAGTGTTGGAACCATGAACGTTATGGTTATCAGCTTCGCCTTTTGACATATCTAATTTATCTAGCTATCTCGTTTTCCAAATGCAGACATGTTGAAGTAAGGAGGGGCCACATCTCCGGAGTGATTTTGGACAACGAATGTGAAAAAGACCTTTGGCGAGCAAGACCATTGATCGGATTGCATAAAAATGTTGAGACACATTGAGATTTTAGTTGAAACATCAAATCCGGACAGAAGCCAAAGTGGATTAAGGGAACAAACCTGACAAAAACTAATGTCAGTGGGGTCAGTGCATAGGCTTTGGCTACTATCACGTAATGTTGCAATTGTGCGTGCTCCACAGGCTGTTGATCAGGTAGCATCGGATCTCTTTGCCAAGCTCGGCGAAGAAACGAATTGTCACCTAATGGACAGCCACTAAACTCACCCGAGCTATCCTATCTGGACACACGCGTGTTCCGTGTTTCAATGTACACTGTAGCATGTCAGTTCAGTCCGATTAGTTCTAATCATAGACATTCTCATTTGCCTTGATTCTAGTTATCCTCTGTCAGTATAGTTATGTTTCTGCTCCAATATCGTAATCGTATCCTCACTGGTTGGACTAATTTTGAGTAGACAAGCTATCTTCGCGATTTCTTGGATAAAGTGTTACTTAATAACCTGTGCTTCGTTCTACTCTGTCCAAATGTGCTGCAAGCATATACCTGTTTCTCTGGTATCCCAACTTTTACTTGCCTTACAGACTTTGGAAAAATCCCTCAAGTTTTCTTATGGTGAATTCCATACGTGGTATCAGTTCGGACTGTCTCTCATCAGTGCAAGAAAGGTGAGCAGCATGCGAAATATTATGCAGGATAATATCGCAGAATGGCAGTGAATACCTGCGTTAAAACAAAGGGAAGTAGATGATGTCAGTTTCTGTCGACAGGATTCGCTTATTTCGTATCCCCCAATCCGGTTATGGCGTGCCACGACTTGTACCTTCACTTGCAAATGCTGAGGTGGTTGGTTGCATTGTCCTAATGACCACTTGCGCCGCGGTCATCTGAAAAATGGCATATTCATTGTCAGTAACTGTCAATTGGGCTTTCTGTTCCATATTGTGGAACGTCGGTCACAGGTTTCTTCATTGGTAATTGTTAGTTGATTTTACCTCGCGCTTGAAGTACATGAGCTTCGTGTTTGTACATTTTGTGCTCACCGTTTTTGCCCTACTGATGCTTTTTTTCCTCTCCCAGGCGATCTGCATGAATGTCGCACAAAAATATCCGCGGTAACTATGATAAACTATGCTTTAGGTTCCAAACTCTAGTGTTTGTATCACATTAGTAAACCTCGGCAATAACGGTAAGCCGGGTGAATACTCCAGAATTACGCGGTATACTGAATGCGTATTTTCTGAACATAACACCATCTAAATGGTTGCTGAATCCGTTATCATTTTGGTGTTGAATTGGATTTTGGAGGTCAGCTCATTTTGCGGGCTATACTGGAAAGAGTGTGTTGGGTAAGAGCGGTTGTGAACCACTCTTCAGTCACCGATTATCCATCTAGCC